AATCTGCTTGTTTTCTAAGTTTCTGATGTGATCTTGGTACCTTAATTTTGACAAGCTAGCCTCTAAATAGAATATCAACTGATTTCTGTAGAGTGTTTGCCTCAGAAAACTGAGATAGTTCAAGTGGATTGAGTTCCGATTGTTTAAAGAAAGACAGTGGGAACTAAGGTTTAGCAGTTTTATGTCCAAGCACAGTATTTGAACATGACCAAAACAAATAAAGGAAGATCTTTTGCCCAGAAAATAATCTTTTTAACGGCATTAAGCCATCCGTTGAACTATATTTATCATCTCAGGAACATCAGAGCATGAATGCCATTTATGAATAATCTTTAAACCATATATATTTAAGGCCAAGTAACATAAAGATATCCCTCTTCCTCTTCAGGAGCTATTTTTTTGTTTTCCGATTTCAAAACTGACCAAAAGTTTTACCTTTTTTTGTGTTTATATGCAAGAATATGTGCAAACATGGATGGGAGTATGTATCTGTAATGTGTGTGTGTGTTGCTTCTACATGCACATGTGGGAATAATTTCAAATAAAAAGTAAAGCTTTGAAATTTTCTTGAAATTCAATTAAATTCAGGAATAAATGATAAATGAGGGATCAGAAATGCAGTATTAAAATATGTACTTTAATACATGTTGCATTAAAGTATTGAGAAGGCTATATTGATAAAGGTTCAAAAAAGAAAATTTTTCTGTAAACTGAAAGTTTTCCTTTGTATTTTCTATACCACTAGTTCTTGTTACTTTAAGCTTTATGCCAGATTATGCAGTGCTGAGTTGTCAATATTCTTAATTTAGACATTATGTTTGAAATGGGGACACAGAGGAAAAAAAGGTCCATTTAATATCAATGATAATCTTTAAAAGAAAGAAAAATAATAAAAAATACTTAGTGAAGAACTTCCTTAAACATTAAACTGGAAAACTGCAAAGATGACAATTATTGGTGAAAGCCCGGTCAGTTAAACAATTTAAATCTATGACATATCAGAGGAAAAAACCCACAGAATTAGGATATAAAAAAGTCGTCAATGTTCAATGTCATTACTGATAAAAGAGAAAGATTAAAGAGCAATTACAATATGCTGTGCATATCAAGAGGCTTAATTTATATCCATCCAAGGATGATTAGCTCAGAGTTTGCTGAGGGCATGTCAATTGTTCTTAATCCTATGAAAAAAAACATTTAAAGATTAATAAGGAACTATAAAACAGGAGTTTGAACCCTGCAGAAAATGCCTTATGGAATAATTAACACCTTTAAAAGGAAAAATCACACCCGTTCAAAAATTGTCAAGAATTCTAATGTCATTTTTTAAACAGGGTTTTCTTCCTTCAAGATTGATACTTGTCTGTATTGTTTTAAATTGTGTCTAGGTAAGGAAGATTTCTGCATAATCAGCTTAAGCCTGAAACAATCAAAAAGTCTCTATATTTGATTCCTTCTTTGAGTGTATTTTAGAATTAAAAAGTTAATTTTTCTCTTAAAAGTAGATTAGTCTCATAATATTCAGTATGTCATAATATGCAAATTATTTTTTGTTTAGTCAGAACAAAAATACAAATTGTCAGTGAGATGGATCTTCAAGATGTATTTTTTCCTGGGCTCAAACCATGATACAAATTTTCAATGAATATTATATAGAAGTGATATTAACATTTTGCAATATATCAAAATAAAATTGTTTAACAACTGAGGAGTCAAATTATTTTCAATGAAAGAATATGTTACCTAGGAGCAAATATTTGGTATGCTGTGTCATATTCAACATATTAAAAGTAATAAAATGTTAAATTCAAAGTGAGAAGGTAGTCTAAAGGTCATGTGCGTGTATGTGCCTGCATGTGTTTACCAATCATATTTTGGTACAGAGAAAAGGGAGAAACATAGGTATTTAAACATCCTTAAACCCTACTTAGGAGAGGCTTTTCAAAATAATTTGCTAGTACTCAAATATAATTTGCGAAATTTGTGTTAGCGTTTGGCCATAGTTCTTCATTTAATTTTCAATTTATTTGACAAATCTTTACTGATTTAATTCAAGACAATCTAGGTACTACAGGGTGAGCAAGATTTCCTTAATCCATACCAGGGGTCCTCAAACTTTTTAAACACAGGGCCAGTTCACTGTCCCTCAGACCATTGGAGGGCCGTTGGAGAGTGCCGCGTGCATTCCACACACACAGTGGGCACTGTGGGCCCGGGACTAGTAGGCTGCTAAGCAGGACAGGCAGTGGCAGCAAAAACACCCGTGGGCCGGATAAAAGTCCTCCGCTGGCCGCATGTAGCCCATGGGCCCAGTTTGAGGACCCCTGGTCCATACAAACATTGCAAAGTACCTTGCCTAAAGTGAAATAGGAAAAAAGTCTTTCAGGAGTAATATTATTTTGCCTTTGTATATGTATATTTACATAATGCAAAATCTAAAATAATTTGTGTATAAAGAGTACAATACAATGGCCAAAGATCCTTCTATCATATGACAAATGCTCCCTGAAAATTCAACAATGTACATTCAACAAAATGAAGTAATGAAATTTCATGCAAAAAATTTGCTTGTAAGAAAAATTCTTAGATTGTTTTTTTGATAAAACTTGTTATCTTTTCAACTGCAAATTCCTAGTGTCAGCATCTTAATTATGTTATTAAATTAAATCAGATTAAAAGAGAATTTTAATATGAATAAACAACACACTCATTGGTAAGATGTTGCTATTTTTAAAAGTAATATACTTTTATAATATAATACATCCAAAAAATTTCTTGCCAAGCCTTGGATTCATTTATGCTGAAAATTAAGTTGTCTCTGGGGCATATATGTGATTGCAGTAAAAATGAGACAGTATGTTAAAATTTAGTTGTTCTTGTACAGCAATTTCAGGTACATATGAAATTTATGTGTGTGTGGCTATATGTGTGTGTGTGACTCTGTATGTAGAGTGCGTGAAAATGAGCCAAAACTATACTTTCTTTCAGTTATCAAATAGTAGGTAGATTGCTCTCTCAAATACTTTGTTTAATGCTATAGATGTCACAGCTGGGTATGCAAACATCTATAGCCAAGTGTCATCAGTAAATTCACATTAATTCAAATTAAGAATGTTTAGGTTAATGAATATATTGTGCTAATCCCACAATAAAATATTTCCCATATTTGATGTGTATCTTTTAATAAATTCTGAAATATACAAATCTATTGGATTCTAGACTTTGCTTCTTTTCTCCATTATTATCCATTTTTCTTAAGTGTGGACACAGCAAATACAGTATCTTCTTATAATCCCTATGCCCCTAAATATAAGTAGTGCTTATTGAGTTTACTAGAAAGAAAGATGCCAATTCTTGTCTCAGTCAGAAGTAAATAAATGGTATTACAAGCTAGCTCTGCAATATATCCTGTGTATCTACCCTTGTCTGGTAGAAAAGACATTATCACAGGGTAGTTTTCTTAGTAGTTACAATTCATAACAACTTGATTATCTCTAACTGGATCAAAATCTGAGCAAAGATTTTATGACAAGGATGGTAAAATCTGCTTATCTTCCAGTAAGCAGGGCTGTAGGTTGGGCATTCTAACCAGGCGACTTCAGAGAGGAGAGATCAGTGTGGCTCTAGATAAAGCCAGCTCGTTGGCGTGGTTGGGTATAATAGCGCTCAACTGAACACAAACTGCCTCCCAGCTAGGAATTCTGAAAATGCATAGCTGCTATTCTAACAATAAAAGTAAGCAATGAAATGCTACATATAGTCTTAAGAAAATTTCAACCACTTTTAAATGAATAAGAACTGGAAGAAATGGAATTTTCAGATACAAAGAGAAAGATGTTCAGAGGAATTAGCAATATTTTATGAAAATAAACTGCTACTAGTATAAATTACAGATATAGTCATCAATCTTCTCAGAACACAATATGCAGTATATTGAAAAGTGCCTAATTCTGTATATTTATGAGTTGAATAGGTACTGAAAAGTCAACAGTAAATGAGTAGAACAGTAACAAAATCAATATAAATATTGATTTTGTGGCTTTTTTTGCTTTTGGAATCTTACAGTACATTCTCACATTTTTGTCAGGTTTAAATATTTGAATGAATACTTTAAACTTTTCTATAATGATCTAACACCAAAATGAATTTTCAAAGGGTCAGGTCTCATTTCTAAATATTTCTTCCAACAATGGCCTGGATAAAAATAACAGGAAAATATGAAAATATGTTTGTTGTCAGAATAGGGCATACTCATTTTCATTTATTTTATTTTATTTTCAGGAATGTTGATGATGTTCAGTTTAATATCCGAAAATACCTTCTACAAAAGCTCTTTGTGGGGCTCTACCTCTTTTATTTTTGTTTAAAATGAAAAAAAAATGTAGATATGCAATGCACATATTCATGTATGTATTGATATAACATTCAATAAAATTCATTTTACATCAGTATACACCACGATTGAAGTATTCAGGTTGAAATCTTTAGAGCTGACAATAAAAGCTGTCATTGAAAAGGTTTTTGTTATTTACAAAGAAGCTTGTTTGCCAGAATGCCTGCTTTGTACCCATTACCCTGTTAATATAGAATGCTGGCTAACTAGAATTATCAGTCCTATCCCTCAAAATTTACTAGACATAGACATTGCCCTTCCCAAACAGTAATTAAACTTAAAGCAGACAACCTTATATACTTTTGAGAGAGAAAAAAATCCACATTGAAAGAAACTATATCAGAAAAAGAGATATATAAAATAACAGAATAAACAATAACATGTTATAACACTCTTCTGAAGAAGGCCTATATAAAAAGGTTTTGTGCTTAAAAATTGGCATGAACACAAACAAGATAAGGTTTAAGACAGACATCATGTATTGAGGTTATCCACTGACATATTGCTTGCCTGATTTGTTTTGGGATGTGCTTAACCGCCAAATGGCCAGATCAAGGTAGGGAAGAGATCAGCTGCGAAAGTTCAGAATCACAGCTTCTTCTCTTACCTTCCACTGAGGAGGAAGCCGATAACCACTGCCAACAAAATGACTCCCACTGTCACCGACACAGCAATTATAGGAATCTGGCTTTGATCACTGGATGCTGCAACTGCTGATAGGAGACACAGAAAACGGAGCTTGTGGTTAAAGTGATCATATGCATTTGAAATAAAAGCTGCTTAATAGTCAGTAATCAATTCATGGTTTAAGCAATTCCCCCACACTTGGCTAAGATATCCCCCTAATATTTCTTTTTAAAAGTGTGTAATCGAAAGCCATCTTTAGAAGAAAATATTTACTCTCCAAACAGAAATTTGAAAGCAACACTAAGTCACTGATTATTTCCTTGTCATCATAAAAAATGAATGCATATTGTTTGCACAGTATTCATCTAGGGGCCTTAGGTTGGCAAAATAAAATGGAATTTCCTCCTTCCCTTCAAACACCTTAATTTAAATAGGAGGTATTTTTGGTATATAATATTTGACAATTTTAGAGTTTGCATGCTCCTGTTCTCTAGAAAGAATTTGATTAACTCAGGATTTTTTTCCCCATGTACATAAAGTCCAAAATAATGTGACTATGACCTTACTGAAGTTAAATATATTATCACTATGCTAAACATGATTTAAAAGCATAATTTTAAGCTGAATATAATCAGTGAATATATTTTACAAGATCACTTTTTGAAAAATATTAAGGCATACATTTTGAATTTTGAAAAGCCTGCATTAAGAATAGATTTATTTACATCACCTTTTTTAAAATCACACGGATTTAGATAAAAATAGTTTATATTTTACCATACAATTGCCATAATAAGAGGTATATGGACATGATTAGGAAGTTGTACCTAAATAAGCAAAGGACTTTTTCTTTTCTGCTGATAACTAATCCTGATTAATATTGAAAAACCTATAAAGCAAAAGAAATTTTACTAATGTTTTCAATAATCTCTCAATAGAATAACTAACATGTTCTTGTTCAATGGCATGATCATTTTGACAATTTCAAAGTAGTACTAGTTTACTTCCATGATTTCAAATATTAAGTCATCAACACCAGTAACAACCATACTTTCCATGTTTTTTTTTTTTTTTTTCTATAACCTTTTACTGGATCTTGGACTACTAAGAGGTTTGGATTTTCAAACATTTCCCTTTCTATTCCAATTATCTTGCCCTTGATTCTTTCTTACCGAAATTGACTAACTCTCTGACCATTTTCTGACACTGACCTACACTTTAAACCACTTCAAACCAGTATGCAGATTCCAATACTATTAACAGTTGGTTTGAGTAAAACTCTTATTTACAATATAAATCTATGCTCTTTTCTGTTTTTGTGTCACAATAGTTGCAATTTAACAGCTTTTTATCCTGTTTTCCCCTATTCTCTGATGCTGAGGTTTACGGTCAGGGATTGAGTTACTGGCACGAAGTACAAATGGGGCAGGGAAAAACTGCCCCACTATCACTAAGTAGCCTTTCCCAAGAACTCTTTCTTAAGTAATCTAAATTTTAATTTCTCAACTCAGATCACTTCCACCATTGCTTTTTTGTTGCTGTCATTCTCTTTCTTTTTGGCAGGGGGCACTATTTCTAGAGAAAACCACTTGACCCATTTAAATTCAATGTTATTTTGACTGGGCCATTGCATCTGCTGCTTAAATGCCTATGGTTCTCTATCATTAATTTCCTAACAGAATCATCCGAGTAATGAGTCTTCTTGATTTTCTCAAGACACTAATTATTCCCATTTCCCATGTTTTGGAAATGATAACCTTTATAGATAAAAGTGATCAAGTCTGAACTCTGTGGTTAAATATAACTGCATAACCTTCTTTTGCTTTACCTAAGTCCCTTGTGACAGCCCCTCCAGTCTCTTCCAAGACCTAGCTCCTTTGAAGATCTCCCCCAGGAGGGATTTTTCTTTATTTATACGTTATTTCTCTGCTACTTACAAGCCTCAATGATTTTAACCACTAGAGAGAAATAAATCCTTATACCTAAACTTACTAGTGTTAGTTCAACCTGAATTTGAAAACAGGTCCAACATCTACCACACATATGGGTTAAAGAAACTATTTAACCTTTTAATGTCTCATTTCCTTGATCTCTAAATAGGGATAATTTCCCTGGATTATTCTAGTTCTGTTAAGATTAAAGATGATATATATAGAATACTTAGCATAGTGCTTCAACTACTGACAGCCTTAAATAAATAGTAAATATTATTTCTACTTATTATTTCCTGCTTTATTTACCAATCTTATTTTTCCTGTATGTCAGCATCTTGACAGAGTCAGCTAGAACCAGCCTCATCTTCTAAGAGCCAACATTATTAAATTCTCTCTGAAACTTTTCTTCTTCTGCCTTTGAATTCTATGCATGATATTGTATTTGCTACATGCAATGAGAACTTATCCATTTACCTAACCTTACACCATGATGAGGAATTCGATCTTGTTGAATATACACCTTTTCTTTGAAACTCTTCTCCTCATTGTTTCTGTGGCATCAGATGGGCTGTTTCTCTTTGTCTCTCTCTAAAGCACTGCTCTGTCAGTTCTTTTGGATCCACACTCTCTTCCTGTATCATATGTGTGAGTGATTCTTGATGAATGCTCACTCCTGAGTCTCCTCACTTCTCTCTTCTCTTTCTCCCACCCCCAATAGGTACATCTTTGTCGATGGTGTCAGTTAAAAAGCATCAGCTGAAAGGTCACAAATTTATATATCCGATCCTTATTCCTCTCCAAAGCATCACTCTATTTTTATAACAGGCTGTTTCTCCTTTTTTTGAATTTTATTGTCATATAAAAACATGTTTCAAATTGACCCTTATACCACATCCACACTCAGAAACAAACACATCATAAATCAAACCAACAAACCAAACTGATTTGATCTCTTTCTGGTTTCTTTTAACTATCACTGAATCTTTCTTATCCTCTACTTGCTCATTTATTACCAAATATTTTTGTGTTCATTTTATGTTTTCTTCTATGCTTCACTTCTTTTTATCCAACACTCATCCATTTGATTCAAATCTGTATAAAAAACGCTTTCATAAGTATTAGAGTGTTTTAAGTATTTCCTCTGGCTTCTATGTAATGATATTAAATACCCCCAAATTTCTCTTTTATCATCTTTCCCTGGTCCAAAATTAAGAGAGTCGTAATACCTATAGAAGAAATTCCCAAATGCTCAGTCTAGCATTCAAAACCCTTGTATTGAGACTCTAACAAATCTTTCTGCTCTCAATATACCAATTTGGGAACTCTCACAGATATGGTTTGGAGGAAGGGGACATGATTAATCAGGGATAAAAACAAAGTGATTTCAGACTGGCTAAAGTATTAAATTTGAGAAAAAGTAAAAGCTCACGGTAGTGTCAAATTCTTCATTTTTAACAACTGTCAAGACTTAATTTAGTAATGTGCTAAAATAATGGACCTATATAAACAACCCAAGTGCTCATCAATTCATGAGTATATTAATAAAATGTGGTGTATGTACACCATGGAGTACTATACAGCTTTAAGAAACAATGGTAATATAGCATCTATTGTATTTTCCTGGATAGAGCTGGAACCCATTCTACTAAGTGTAGTATCTCAAGAATGGAAAAACAAGCACCACATGTACTCATCAGCAAATTGGTATTAACTGATCAATACCTCAGTGGACATACAGAAATAACATCTATTGGGTGTTGGGCAGGTGGGGAGGGGAAGAGGGGATGGGTATGTGCATACACAATGAGTGTGATGTGCAACATTTGGGGGATGGTCACGCTTGAGGCTCTGACTCGAGGAGGGAGGGGGAGTATGGGCAATATATGTAACCTTAACACTTGTACCCCCATAATACGCTAAAATAAAAATAATAAAAAAGAGAAAAAAAAATGATTGCTAGTAGTATTCCAAAAATTACCAATAATAAGTTAGTACATTTTATGAGAATATTTTAAAGTACTATCAAATCACATTCATTATTTCTATGTTTTTACATAATGTGCACTGATATCAGATCTTTTTTGTAAAATAAGCAGTTACATCAAGGGGCTACAAAGAAGAATTTAAAGAATATATTTTGATATATTATTTTTTTACTTTGCAACATTTTCTAAGGTCCTTGATGAGTTTTAAATATTGGCTATTTCACATACACTGATTAATTTGTGGCCTGTTTCTGATAGAAAATAACTCATCAAGATTTTGTACTGTTTATTCTTTCTTTGTTTATCCTGTGAGCATCAATATGATCATTAATTATATTAACTCAGATGAAAGTATAGATTTTATTAGGTACTGCCAATGCCTTCATACTTGTTCATTCTTTAACAGTGAAAACACACACACACACACACACACACACACACACACACATTTCAGGCCTAGTATAAGCCGTGAATATTATTTTAACACATTGATAAATTTGTAATTTTTAAAGATATGAACATCTTGTCATTTATGTTTTGGAAGAATTTCCATTTCTTATGTTTGCTTATTAAAATTGAGTTAACCAATGATGTAATTTTGGAAGAATAGCTGAGGAATGTTTTGGAAATGCTTAAGACAATATTGATGCAATGTAACATGCTATACTCAAAGGACAACAATTATAAAAATTGATATTCTTTAGTAAATAATAATGTTTCTTTCAAAAAATATATTATGCATATATACCATCCCTGGAAACTTAAAGGTAGGATATATTGAGAAATCACATTTTGTAACTCACCTTGCTTCCTACTCCTTATTGCAAATCCCTATTTCATGGGTATTCTCTAGACTCTATTGCCATAGCTACATATGTGAATAGTTAATCATTGAAGCTGAAAAGACATGTTAGAGCCAGATTATAAGCCCAAATTGAGAATTTGGGATATTTCTTTCACAGCAATAGGTATCTATAAACTTTCTTAATCAGGTGAACCTAACCAAAGTTATAATTTGTGATAAATAATATGTGTGTGTAGGAATCAGTGAGAAAATCTAAAACAGTAAGGCAGGTAAATAAGCACATGAAAAGATGTTGAATGTTATTAGTTATCAGGGACATTCAAATTAAAACTGCAATGAGATATTGCTACCCACCTATCCAAAATGACTAATAAGCAAACAAATAAATAAATAATGACAACACCAACTACTTATGAAGATGTGAAGAAATCAGATCACTCATGCATTTCCAACGGGAATGTAAAATGATACAGCCACTCTGGAAAACAGTTTGGCAGTTTCTTACAAAACTAAATATACAATTACCATATGACCCAGTGATTATACTCTTGGGAGTTTATCCCAGGGAAATGAAAACTTATGTTGATACCAAAAATGTTCAAAAATATTTACAACTTTATTTATAATAGCAAAATTGCAATTTTGCAATTATAATGTCTTTCCATAGATGAATGGTTAAATAAATTGTGTTACATACATACCAAGGGATACTACTAAGTAATAAAAATAAACAAACTTGATATACAAAACAATCTACATGAAACTCCAGGGAACTATACTAAATAAAAAATAGCCAATGCCAAAGTATAAGGTCACATACTGTATGATTCTATTTATGAAACATTTTTGCAATGTCAACACATTAGAAATGGAGGGCAGATTAATGGTTTCCAGGGATTAGTGATGGCTTGAGAGCTGTTCCTGAAGGCAGTGGCTGTGGTTGCAAAAGGGCAACACAAGGGATCTTTATGGTATTGGCACTCTTTGGTGTCTTGACTGTCATCGTAGATACGTAAACCTGCACAAGTGACTAAATTGTGTAGAACTTAATACACACACATGTCCACACACATGTATGCAAAGAAGTACAGGAATATGTGATTAAGATCTGTGGATTGGATCAATGCCAATATCCCAGTTGTAATATTATACTAGAGTTTTGTAAAATGTTACCAGTGGAAGAAACTAAGTAACGTGTATGAGTTCTCTATATGATTGCTTACAATTGTGTGTAAACCTACAATTACCTCAATACAATTTTCAATTAAAAATACACCACCAGTATTCCAGCAGTTAGGCTACACAAATTTGAGACAAATAGGTAAGATATAGATAAAAGGAAGTGATACATTTTAAAAAATCAAGAGAATCACAAATCTGATTAGTAAATCTCGGGCAAGTAGGGGTTAGGAAAAAGTCAGTGATAGTCTCAAAATTTCAAGACAAATTATGTTAAAATAAATCAGAAAAAAAGAGTTAACTAGTTTGGCTGAATGGTTTCATTCATGGTAAGTTTATTTGTTGATGTGTCTTTTTGTCACTGTTGAGAGAAGAGGTAATATAAGGAGTTGATTTTAAATATATTGCTTTTATGTGCAATAAAATTAAAATAAAGAGGCTAGTGGTCTATGTAGTTATAAAACATAAACTAAAGCTTGCCAGAGAAAGAATGGTTGAATATTTTCCACCTAAGTCTTCACATTTCCACCTATAAGTCTTTCTGAAATAACTATTTTTACATTGCTGCTTTTACTACTATTTGCATTTGATTTTAGGGCTATATTTTTGAATTATAAGATAATGTAGATGAAGAAGAAAAGCCCTTCATAACAATTTTTCCTCCTTGTAAATAAATGTCTGAAGTATAATTTAAACTAATAAGTAATAAATTTTGGAAGCAAATCAATAACAAAATGTATCAATGTGTCACTATTATATATCAAATGAGTTGAGCAGGCAATTAGAAAAAAAATGTTTTAAATACACACAAAGTAATTTTAAAATAACTTTCTATTCTTATGTACTTGAGAGATAAATAGACTTTCCTTAATAACAGTGACTAATAAAATCCTGGATACTTAACTATTATCTACCAGATGAAAACCACCAATAACTTTAAAAGGAAAAATATAAATACATTTAAGATATCATAATTCCTGCATTCAAATGTTTGGAGGTCTTGATGGGGAAAATAAATGTATACAAAGATTAAATTATGATATGAAGGAAATAATTGCCCAATAAATTAATGTGATTTCACAAATGACTACATAACTAATTGTCAAACAAAAGGTATATGACACAAAATTTACAGGAATTCTGAAAAGAAATTATTATTTTAATTATCATGAGTATCATCTTTAACTCCTTATGAGATTGTGAGAAAAAAGACACTGTGCTTTACAAGTATTTGAGTCACATACAGTACCTAGATCTTTTGATCTAGGGAATAAATAAAATTAATATTAAATAATTGATAAAACAATTACTATAAAATGGTTTTAGAAGCAAATACTCCATATTTCAGAATTAAATAAACTGTGTTCTTATTCTCTGGAGTGTAGTTTTCATGTGTTACTCATGTTGATTTCTCCAGAGCCTAGCAAAACCTAGTATGTAATAGGTACATATGACACGCTTGTTGAATTATATTCAGAAAGAGTTATCCATAAAGATCAGGAGAACTGATCTGTAATAGATAATTTCTACAAAGAATAAAATCTTTTTTAGAAAGCTTGCAAATACATGTACACAAACTCAAGTAAAAATAAGATTTTACATTAATGAAAGCTAGGAGGCAGCGTGAAACTATTTTAATAAATAGTTTCATTAGCTATTAAAATAACCCTAAAATCGACTTTTGTAGTAAAAACCATTTGTGTGAGATTTCTTTCCTTCTAGAAATTATATAGGATAAACTTTAAAAGTAGCCTGTCTCATGTAAGACTTTGTAAAAGTATATAGGTAAATGATCGCATAATTCTTCTCTGTGATGGATTTTGGCATGCCTGCAAGCTACTGTTTAATAATAAAAAAAAAGTAAAAGGGAGAATATTAAAAAGTCTGAAGAATAATTGCTGAACATGCCAACACCCCAAAGCTAAGCAGAATTTTACAATTTTTTAAATAGGATTTTCCGTTTGTGTAGTCACCAAGGCATTCAAGCATATTTTGGGATGTTATACATGGCTTTGTCCCCACAGATGGTAGACCACATGAACAGTATATATTCCTAATGGTACATAAATAAAATCAAGTCCTATAGGATGTCCAGCTTATATAACATGTCTTTTGTCATACATTCATTTTGGGTTCTAGGTGCATGATTAAATAATCCATTGCTGGTACTATGATAATTTTCTGACTAATTACATATGTTCTTATGAAATATATTAAGAAACTTTTCTGAATAGTATTAGAGGTTCAAATTTTAGTAGATTTAATTAAACTGAAGTAGAATTTTCTTTTGCATAGATAGAAAACAATTTATCATTTTTTTACTATGGCATCCATCTCTGTATAAAATCCAGTGGAGTAACACTTAAAAAGATAAGTAATAAAACTTATTTTCTAAATAACTCAGTTAAACATGCTTTAAACAGAAGTATATCTTGATTGTCCAAAGAATTGCATTATATAGTTTTACTGAAATTTTAATTTAATAATTCTTTTAATCCTCACAAAGCAAATCCCCATACTTAAGCTCTCATTTTGTTGATTTCAAAAAAAAAAAAGTTAGGCATTTTATTTTCTTCATTTTAAAATAACAAATTCTTATGTAAATTGGCATTAAAAAACAAACACACATATACACTCTTGAATTTTCACAACACTCCTGTTTTCTTCGTAAAACGACTAATAATGTCAGTTCTTTCCTCTATGAACAAGGCAAGCTATTGTCCTCTAATTCTGCTTTTAATGTGTTGTTTACTTTAGAACGAGTATGTAATATCAATATTTTGTTGAAGTTGAAGATAAATATTTTTATGCTCTTTTATGGAGAAAAATTGTACAACAAGGATGTTCCAGAAATATTTCCAGATACTCTACTCAAAGATAGTGCCAGAGATTTATTATTATTATTATTATTTTAAGAAATCAGATTGACTCTTGAGAGCACCATTATCACATTAAACTCAATGCTAAAGAAAGCTCCTTGTGGAATTTTCATAGAAAGACTAAGCCTAGTAGTATAGTTCAACAAAATAAGTAAAAAAAGTAAACGGCAATAATTCAATAAAGTATGGCAGCAGTGGAAAGAAAGTGTTTAAAAACAAGTTTAAACATTTCTTAAGGATCTCCTCTTGCACCATCTCCCAGTAGACTGAATGCAATGAGGAGCAGGGACCAATGTGTTAACCCACCGACCTACCATAATAGCATGACAGCTGCTCCCCCCCTGAAGGGGTCATGTCTGGGAGAGAGAAGGGGAGAGTGAGATTGACAGAATGCCCAGGGAGCATATTGATCCACTGACTCTTTTCTGGTAACCATTACAGAGACATGAGTTGACAGTAATTAAAATGACTTACACACTGGGATGGTTTCAAACTCAAATCTTCGACTGAAGACACCATAGCCTGCTGCTGTACGTGCTCGAATTTGGAAGACGTATACTGAAGCTGGTTTCAAGCCCTCTGCAGTAATAGTTGTCTCCTTAGATTTGATAATCGTGTAGCTGGTCTCTTGGTCCTTGGATTGCACATGGACATACAATAAAAAAGTCAACATGTAAAATACTAATGACAGCAAAACTTAGAATCATAGGTCAGATGAAGAACCAGAAAGCAATGGATTCTCTACTAAGACAAACACAATCGTTTTGAAAAAACAAAAAACAAAAAACCTACACAATCTATCTATGTGTGCTATTTATGTAAAATCTTAAAGTTTTTTTCTAGAACTCAGGTGGTGGGTGGCATGCTGTCTACCCAACCACCATATTTGCCTTTGGCAAAAATAAATTTGTAAAACTTTTAAAATACAATTTTAATCTTTGTAGGAAATTGATTATTTTACAGACATTTACTATCATTATTTGTGTGTTTGCTCTCCTCAGGTAAATTTTGTTGAAGCATATCTAACATACTGCCTATTCATAGAGAAAGTAGACAATACATTCTCTATGAGGTAGGGCTTATGCTTTAAATATATAGTGAATTAGATTTCTAATTATATTTAGCACTTGGGAAGAAATTGGTACTTCCCTGGAAAAGTTTAATTTCAATTAAATAAGGCTAAACAGGAAGCATTAAAGAAAAAATGCAAAGAGCAAAACTTTTTTGTTTGTTTTAAAAAATTATTTTATGGGGAAGTAGGTAAGTAGTGAATGGAGATGGTGTAGGAAAAAAAAATCACTGGAAAGATAGTCTCAGAACCTGAAAAAAGAGGAACTGTTCCTATTTTGACTTCCAGCAAAAGTCTAGACTAGCCATCCATAACTCCCCATTATCTCTGTGAAGTTTACAAGCTGACCTTAGTATGGACACTAAAATCACATGCTAAAATACAGCACATCTACTTTTACATTTATATTCAGCTTCCAAATCTGTAAAGTTGGGATAGAAACTATTGTCTGAGTTTTCTTACAGAGATGTAAAAAGAAACAGGTAATGCATGTGAAAACACTCAATAAACTATAATGCATGTTTTAATTCTCATCATCATTATTTTAAATATTCCCATTTCTTTCAAATTTGACATTGACTTTTCATCATTTTTTATATCACCAATGCTACCTACAATAAACAACCTATAAACATTCTTCTTTTAAAACAATTTACCACCCTGATGTAATACTTGTAAACATTATCTTAAGGTTAAGTTACAGTACAATTATCTTAAAGTTAAACGGATCCATATTTCTCTCTAAATAGGTATGATCTAATTTCTAACCCATATATCACGTTTTCTGATTCATTATAGGCAAATGATTGATCTTTTGTTTTTTAATGCACAGATTAAGCAACTAATCTTTAAAGCATTTAGGTCATTTTATTAGACTTTTGCAAAGGATTCAAAGTAAGTAAGTAAATCTTATAAAACTTTACCTAGTAATTAATACAAGGCAATTTCTTCATTCACAACCATTTATTGTTGTATCTATTACCCCTTCTATATAATAGGAATGTGAGCAGTAAAAAAGACAATTTCTTGATGTGTGCCTTTAAAAATTGTGAATAACTACTATAAAATATGATAGTTACTGATTGTTCTTAGAATGCTCAAGTTTATGACTAAATAAACCTGATGAAATTGTTTATTATTTCTCAACATTATTGGGAATAAGTAATATTATTTTTCAATAATATTATACTTTTCCAGTTTGGCTATGATTGCAGCAGTAACTTTCAGTAAGAAATGGTTAAATGTTTGTTTGCTGATATTATTTTCAGTAGTTTAAAGGGAATTGAACTTGGTGAAAAAAATCTAGTCATGAGATTCTGATATACTTAATATAATTACAATTTCTACAAAAAAATTAATATTTATAATGTCAAATAAGAATTTTTAAAGCATGGAAATAACAGAGTTAGATTCAAGCCATGTCATTAACTAACATGAGTAAATGTGGATACACAACTCTGAAAATGGAGATAAAATTATTTATCAATGATATTGGAAGGAGAGGGAGATAATACACATAGCACCAAGTACAATCTCTATAAAATAGGTTCTAAGTAGATTTGACTACACTTAACTCTATAGCACGATGGTAATTCTTCCATTGAAAAGTAAAAATCAAAACAATTTTTAAAAGCTTAAATGATTGTAGATCTTAACTATTGAAGGCATAATGAATACATTTTGTAAAAATAATAGAAATCGATATTTTTGCCAAAAAAGTAAAAAAAACTTACAAGAAAACTGTAATGCTGCTTTTTGAAATAATGTATGATCTAATATCAATTCCACAACATTTCATAACATTGTGTCTGATTTAACAATTAAAATTATGTATGTCTCAGTTGCTCCCTATCTGGGATTTAAATGTACACTGTCTCTCTGAGTTAGCTAATACCACATTATTGAAGAGAATTTAGCAAAGCTTGTATGCGAGGATCAAAACCAACAAATTTACATTGTAAATTATCTAGATATCTTCCAAAATTTACTTCTGTTGTATCCCTTTAAATCACTCTCATATCATAATTTCAGATCACAAACCCTAGATGCACATCTTCAACGCCCACAACCACCTGGCTGCCAAGTCCTTGGTCAGGGCAGTGGCTTTTGCAGCCTTCCTGCCCCAGCCGAGCAAATGAGCGACATTCCCCAGCTGCTTAGCAAACACTCTTCACACGCGGCGAGGGGAGGGCCTCAGCAGAAGGAGCCAGCTGGCTAACACGCTGCCAAGGGGCAGCTTCCCTTTGCCTCTGCCTTTAATTAAGAGATGGCGATGGGCCCATCACCGCGCGGGAGCAGAGAAGCCCAGTGACCTCTATTAGAGCAGGGCAATCGCAGGCAGACGTGCCAGCTGGCAAATGCGTGGGCCCTGCAAAGCTCTGCCACCTGTGTTTGGCCACAAGCCATCCAATAAAATGGTGGTGTCATTCTGAAGGTTCAAAATGAGCGCTGGAAACCTATCAGAACCCCCACCTCAATGCATGGCATAAAAGCTCATTGTCCTTAATTTTTCATGAAAACCTTTTAAAAAATATTCATGTATATTATATCAGTAAGCTCTCTGATTTGGCTTGACAAAAAGGTCCCCAAATTAGTAACTTCACTGTAAAAAGGAAAACACTGACCAAAAGAAATTAATAACTTTCACCAAAATAACATATTAAAGATATTGCTACTTTTGAATTATGTATGTAGACAGCTTGTGATTAATATACTGAAGATACGTACAAAAGCCTTTTTCCCAAATCGGTTTTTCTTAATTTAAGTTATGCAAATAATAGAATGAGTTCATACAGCGCTAAATATAAACTATTAAATATAAGACCAATCCTACTGAAATAAATGGAATTTAACAAGAAATTGAACTGTAAAGAAAATAATTCTATGACCTGAATAAAATTCACTAGATGAAATAGTAATAGAAAAGGACTCCTCCCCACCACTTGTTGAACAAAACTTTGTTCTAAAAGAAGTAGCAACTTAAAGAAAAAAAAAAAAAGATAAATCCTTGCTAGTACTGAATATTGGATACATAATGAAACTCATGCATACACTGTGAAGTGGTGGTGAAAGCAATCAAAGTTTATTCATAATGGGAAAAAAGGGACGAAAAAAAAGGCAGGTCATTGATCCAGATAGTTGATTCAGGATAAAAACAAAATAATGCAGGAAAATAAGTACTTGTCAAACTTTTAGTTTTCCTGTTGTTGAATTTTATTTCATCTAAGATGTATGTATGCATTTGGTATTTAGTTGTTTTAAAATTCTACTATGCATTTCAACTTCTTTTAAAATCAACTTTAATCATAAGAAATATTTGGAAACTTAGAATGTCTATGGTAGAATTCACCATGTGTTTGTATATATCTATATAACTCTACACAGCTTTGCATTAGTATAGAGTAATAAAGGTTTATAAAAACTCAAAGAATGTAAGCCTTAATTTTACAAATTATTTTTGGATATAGCATGTGTTTAAATAGTAGACATCTGGAATTTGCAATGCTGTTTTTGATTACTAAACTCAAAGAAACCAGAATCAGTGAGGAATATTAATGTTACAACATTCCACTTGATTAACTACATTTTTGTTGACAATAAACACTGTAGCCCATATCCCAACATAATTTTGTCCCAGAGGTATTCTCCTAGCATATTCTTGATGAATAATGTATTTGATAACATATATTTTATGAAATATCTTATTAAGTATCATCACTTATGCTCTCTAATGACTCAATAGTTATATGTAATGCTACTAGCAAGTCATTCCTAGAAAGATAACTATTTCAAAAGTAAAAAATTGACTGTTTATTCATCCATTAATAAAATCAATACATGAGCATTATAGAGACATCCAAAACCTTCAAATTAATATATATTAATACATAGCCCTCACTTCATCCTCCTACCACTGTTTAATTTTTGTCATATCTTTATACAAGAAAAAGTTGAATCAATGAACAAAAAAATGAATTTATTTTTAAAATATCTATAATATATGGCAAATTAACATTTAATATATTTACCTAAACTTTTTTATCTATGCCTATAGAGTCTTTGATTTATAAGTAATTTTCACTAATAAGTCATTAGTATTTTTCAAGATGATGAAAAGAAAAGAACATTTTTTGCCCTTTTTCCCCCCAATGTCCTAGCTTGGGGAAATTTTTTTAGTTGTTGTACAGTAAGGTTTTGCATTTCCTGCTATCCTCTACCTTCCTCCTTAAAAGCTAAGGAGTGATGTCTCTGTGAGTTTGGTAATCAGAAACAATTGCATGAATATGGCTCAGCTCTTCCTTTCTCTTTTGGGATCTGCTTGTCTGGATTACAAGATGTCTTCTTTTCTGCTCCTGGGACCATAACACCAACATTTCTGGGTCGGGGATCTCCAACCCATTTCTTAGAGGCTGGTTTGGACACCCATCTATCTTAATTGCCTCTATTAGAACTCAGGTTACCCTAAGGCGTGTATGCCATTCAGATCCAAGCTATAGATAAATCATGGTAGAATGGGCTGGGAGTGGTGGGAAGAATCAAGGTTGTATATATCTAAACCATATCCTCCAGCCCAGCTTTGGACATTATAAGCTTATCTTTAGCTTCTATCTGTATGATTCCTTCCTCAACAGCTCACTTGGTTGCAGATTCAGAAGAGAGGAAAAGTGATGTTTAGTTTCTTTAGATCTCAACAACTATTATGGTAAAATATGTAAAAGTGGCCCTAAGAGACAACTCAGAGAACAAAGGGAAGTCAAGAAAATATAGGGAATAGGGAATGTGAGGCACACATTTCTGATTTTGCACTCTCAAATTTAAACATAAAGTTTGTACCACAGTGCTGGATGTTTTCTAAGCATCTTTAAAAACTATGTTTTTAGAACAGAAGACATCTTGTATGTATGAATCTCATCTTCCCATACCTCCCTAACAATGTAAGTATTGTACTGAGTTCCTGGTCTTAAGCTCATGTGGTTTTCCATTTAGCACAGTGCATCACTACTGAAGGTCAACAGCTTAGTGTTCACAACATTTTCAAATGTCCTATGACTTCATCTTTTAATGCTGTGAAACACAGTTAAGCCGGTATCAGACTATATGGCAATATTCAGTAAGTGTAAACTATTTGGCAGCAGCAGAACACAAGAGCTGAGACACAGAACACGGAGAGCTCCCTGTACACTTCTAGCCTCCATAATCATGACTGCAGAATCAATTGTCATTGATTCACACATAAAATTGAAGCATGCTCTTTTACAAATTGGATAATTGCAGTTTCTAAAATGGAAAAAAAAAGAAAGGATATATTTTATTTTGTTAGTCCTACCTTTTCAAAATATTTGATTTCATACTCCAGGATGATTCCATTGGGGCGATCTGGCTCTTGCCAAGACAAAGAGATGCTATTTTTTGCAATCTTCCCCTTTTTCACATTGGTGACAGGAGAGGGGGCTGCAAAATAGTATAAATAAAAAGTAACATGATTAATAAAGCCTGGAAATTACAACCTTTTCTGTGTATTTTACATATTGGCCTTTTTAGAATGCATCATTATAAAAATCCCAAACAATTAAATTTTTATTTAAATTTGTAGCAATTTTACTTTCTCTATAGAAGGTGTTAAAGATTACAAAGGCTTTTATGAATATAAATCAGCTAAATATCCTCAGGATTTTCTCATACTAAGACTGTAGTCCACATTTTCTCCATATAGTTTAGATATATGAATTATTTTATATTTTATAGAATAAAGATGTTCTTTATGATTTATGTATCTTCTATGTTTCTAAAATTTATAGACTCTATATGGTATATCCCATTATGCTAATAGATACATGAAGACACATAATTATTTAGATTATCGCATCTCCACAACATTGAGTCTTTTTTACAATTTATTATTTCTGAAATCACACGGGTCTTACATTTATTAATAAATTCATATATTAAATATGGTAGGGTTTTCCTATAAAATGTCATTAAATATGTGGTGTATCTTGAAATAATAGCAAATAGAAGAAACTTTTCCTTCATTTCCATTTTCCCCAATTATTTAATTGAAAGTCATAGTCACTTTTGATGTTCATTTCAATTTCCTATACTGTCTATTAAACAACTACTTTTCTAATAAAAATAGAAATGATATATATGCTATTTCAGATATGTTTGGATATTTTACTTTACAAAGCATCTGGCTATTTGAGTCAAAGTCATTTTATCAATCTGCTGAGACGCTCTGGGTTTGAAAATATATCCAGAAGACATGACAACATATAAGAGTATAAGCTATGGGCCCCCTAATTCATTATATGTTTGTATCAAAAGAGCAAATTTACTGAAGAAGAAACAGTAACTCAGGATTAAGGAAGACAGTGGATTTTTGAAATGTATTTTGTTCAGTAGTGAATATGTTTCTGAATTATCTTGAATCATGAATTATACTCACTTTTTTATTACTACTATATATTTATTACAGTATACATTAATAAAAATCCAGATACAGACTAGGTCTTCAAAGTTTTTCATTCATACTACAGTGAAATCATTTTTTTAGGTTGATGTATTTCTTATAGATAGTTGTTATTTTCATCTACTGAATTGATGGTATTGCTGCCTTTCTATTAGTAAGTTATATTTAACATGTATGCTCCATGAAGGCAGAAATTGAATTGGCTTAGTCCACTGCTATATTTCTGGGATGGGAATATTACTTAGTGTATAAAAATTTAATAAATATTTGTGGAATGGATGGATACATGAATGAATGAATGGCAAATATACAAATATCAATATCATAATGTATCATTCAGCTTGAGTTTGATTCATCATAGGTGCATATACTAAGATAATATTAGTTTGGGATTTGTGGTTTATTTTAAAACATGTTAGTTATTTAATAAAATAACCATTTCAAAACAAAGATATCAAATAAATATCAACACAGACATAACCTGGACACAGCCAGCTTAAAGTGGAACACTCTGTTATTTATTTACATCCCTTAAAGTTAATACCAGCATTTTCCAAACTGAGTTTTCACAATGACAAAAAAATAAATAAAAAGTATTTTTTAAAATACTGGTTCAGGTTGGGGAAAAATAATTAGAATGGTAGTAAGGAATAACTTCCTCTGTGACAAGAGAATTGCTGCGTCCATCTGTAGAAAAGCTGATGAACATGGGGATGCTGACAGCTCCTGGGGACACAATGATGATGTGCAAATTGTGAATGGCAGCAATCCTACGCCACCACAAAGTATTTTACAGGTATCCACGCACATTAAAATAACTGCGGCCAGGTTCGTCAGCACCGAGGGGCATGTTCAATTTATCTTATTTGTCTCCCTCGCTGATACTCATTCTGCGCCTGCTCAACCTTTTAAGTAAACCTGGTGTCAAATGAGAATGATGATTTAAAGCATTTCTGCGTGTAAAATGTAGATGAATGATGTCAAATCATAAAACTATCTCTGTGCCTAAGAACGGAATAAAAGAATACCAAAGAAATCACATTGTGGAGAGTTACGAAATAATTCTCACAACTTCTGAGTTGTATCTTCCAGATCCGTGGAAATATTTCAGACTGTCTTGTATTGTAGCTTCTGTATTTGAACTCACCTTTGAATACAGGTATGATATGCAAAATACTGATCCTTTAGGCTAGGAACAGTTACCACTCTGTAATAATTGTCTTGCCTTTTTGAGTTTCTTAAATAAACTTAAATTTAGAATAGTTTTATATTTATATAAAGAATAGAGTTTCTGTATACCTCACACCGTGTCCCTTATTAGAAGCATATCACATTAATACATTTACACCTGTCACAATTAATAAACCAATATTGATAGATTATTATTAACTAAAGTGCAAACTTTATTCAGATTTCTTCAGTTTTTGTTTAATGTCCTTTTTCATCCAGCACGCTATATTAATTTAGTTATCATGTTTCCTTAGTCTCCTCTTGGCTGTTACAGTTTTTCACCTTCCTTGATTTGATGACCTTGACACTTTGGGTGCTTACTGGTCAGATATTTTGTAAACTGTCTCTCCAGTGGAATTAATTTAGTGTTTTTCTCATGATTAGACTAGGATTGTCAGTGTTTGGGGGGAAGACCACAGAGGTATATTGCCACCTGACTGCATCATATCATGGGTACATTCAATCAACATAACCTCACTGTAATGTCAACCTTAATCACCTGACTGAGGTCGTGTTTATCCCATTTCTCCATTGTAAAAATTATTTTTTTTCTAGCTTTCCATATTGTACTCTTGGGAAGGACGTCGCTATTTGCAGCCCATATTTAAGGAGTGGGGATTTACTAGCTGCTTTTTGGAAGGTGGAATATCTGCTTAAATTACTGGGATTTCTTCTGAATGGGGAATTTGTATATTTTTTTCATTTTAAAATTTATTTAATAATTTATTGATGTAAGTACAGACTTGTTGATTTTTTACACTTTGGTTTATAATCTAATGCTTTATTTTGTTACTCAAATTATTGACTCTTTGGCCATTGGAAGCTCTTTCAGAATTCCCATGTCTCTTTGACATATCCCCATCATTAGGATTTTGTTTGTCTGTCTGTCTGTTTTCTGCATCACTTTTTTAATTTCTGGCACCAGAAGACCAGGTACCCCAGGTTCATCTTGTTTATATACCACCCCAGTGCTAGAATCAGTTTTTTCTCCAAGGGGCACTTATTCCTTTTATTGGAGAATGACATTACAAATTAAGATCTTAGTGTTAGGTATGTCCCTTGTCACTGATATGCCATTGCTTCTAGGTCCTCTTAGCTAATAGAACAAGGAAATAAATGTGAGTGTATTAACTGTGCACATTTATACAATTTTATATATAACCATTATACCCACAGTAAACTAAACATGTTTCCAATTCTGTTCAATTATGACATGGATCATTCTAGTGTCCTCACCTTACTTATCTGTAACCTCTCATTCCAAAAGTGGCTCCTATCATCTGTCATCCAGTCACTTAATTGTTCTATTATAGAATATATGTCCAGTGGTTTCAGACTTGTTAATCTGTCTGTTTGACTTATTGATAATGACATAATATAGAAATCGTTAACACCCTAATGGCACAAACAATGATAGACAAAATTTTGCCATCAGTTGTACAATGTGAAAAGTTCTCCTTACTTTCCAAATATAGAAATGGTAGTGTTCAAAGATGGAAAGGAATGCCATGGCACATATAACTTTGAAGTCAGATCGAATTAGCTTCAAATCTTTTGGCAGCCAAACATTTCTGCGTGACCGTTTAACTTACTTAACTTCTGTGAATTTGCTTTTCAATCTTTATAATAGTAACAATAATATAAACTCATCGTCTTTTTGTGAAGTTGATTCTGTATGTACAACATCTGATTCTGTATGTACAATGTCAAGTGCAAGGAGGGTACCAAAAATGCTATTTGTAATATTATCAGTTGTAAAATATTAGAAAATCATTCAAAAGACTTCAAGAATGGTTTCTTTGTAATTCCTTAACCCTTTCATCCTTCATCAGTCAAAATTATTTGTAGTCTTGTCTCTGAACTTGGCACTGTTAGAAATGCTGAATGAGATTAAAAGGCAAAATACTTAGCCAGACAAGATTTTTTTTTTGTTTTCTACATCCAATGGAATTCACAACTCTACGTTAATAAATAGTTATGGGTAAACTTCTTTGATATTGTTGATAAAAAAATGTTGAGCTTTTAAATGTTAATTAAAGGACTAATAGTTACACTTAGTATAGAGTAACTTCTTCCTCATTCTTTAAAACAGACTGAACATGATGAAAACATGAACCTTAGTTGGGTCCAATGCTGCTTGTGTAAACAAAAATAAATTATAAGTAAGATCAAGTATTGGTTACTTACATTTAAAAGACAGATATACCTCCATCGTTTGATTAATATACCCATATTTTAAGTCTTAAAGCTTTGAGAAAGTAAATAAGATAATATTGAAATCCTTTTAGTCTATAACAGTCTACAAATGTGTTAAAACTTCATTAAATGCCATTTCTTTTTACCTTCCTAAAAGAGTTCCTACACATAAATACAGTTCATTTAGTTACTAGTTTTAAAAATACATGTATCATTTACTTGATTCCATAGATTAAAATTTGACCAAGTGGACTGCCAATCAATATGTGCCAGCTAAAAGCCACTGCTTCTCTGCCATACACAGTGTATCACCACACAGAAGTGCTTCATGTTATCCAGGTGTGTGTTGGCCAGTATAGTATCCCAAAACTACAGATTACTAGCTTCTCTCCAGAAAACTCTGACTCAGCAGCTCAGACTGGGACCAAGGATTCTGTATTTTTAATAAAGGCTCTGTTAGAATTATTTTATCAGTAAAATTCAGGAAATACATGAAGGAAAATCATACCGGGGTGAATTCTTCTTTAAAAAGGAAATTATATAACCTTAGAAACCT